GCCATCATCCGCACCCTTCAGGCTTGGAGGCATTTCCTGGAAGGAAACCCTCATCCGGTCGTCATTTTCACCAATCACAAGAACCTGATCTATTTCCGTTCTGCGCAACGACTCACCCGACGACAGGCCTGGTGGCACCTCACGCTCACTAACTTTGATCTGGAACTTCACCACGTTCCTGGAACAAAGCTCGCTGCACCGGATACCTTATCCCGCCGTCCTGACCATGCTATCGCTGGTCAGGATAATGAAGATTGCGTTCTCCTCCCCGATGCCCTGTTCACCCGTCTAATTGACGCTGAACTCGCAGACGAGTTCCAATGACTCTCTGACGACCCCTCCGACCAGACTGTGAAAACAGCCTTGGACGCTCTCTCTGGGGTGTGTGCACCCCCCATGAAGTTTGCACTTTCCGATTGGAGGTTCACCGATGGTGTTCTCTTCTATAAAGATCGTGCCTACGTTCCCTCCGACCTCCGGCATCGTGTGTTGTCTCTGCATCACGATCACCCAACCGCCGGGCACCCCGGGCGTTCGGGTACCAAATGGAACGTCAAGAAATCCTACTGGTGGCCTGGAATGGGCTCCTTCATTAGGAAATATGTCGATGGCTGCACCATGTGCCAGCAGATGAAGGTTAACACCCACCCCACGACACCTCCCCTCACCCCGATACCCTCCTTGGCCCTCCGGCCCTTCACTCAGGTTTCAGTTGATTTAATCACCGACCTCCCCGAGAGCGCCGGCTATGACTCTGTCATGGTCGTGGTAGACCATGGGCTTACAAAGGGAATAATTCTCTGCCCTTGCAGAAAAACCATCACAGCGGAAGGGGTAGCCGAACTTTTCTTCAAGAAAGTGTTCATGCGCTTCGGACTCTATGACAAGATCATCTCAGACCGAGGCCCCCAATTCGCCTCGAAGCTAGCAAAAGAGCTAGGATGACTCCTCGACTACCAAGTCGCACTTTCCACTGCCTACCACCCTCAGACAGATGGCCAGACCGAACGGCTCAACCAAGAGCTTGAAACCTACCTCCGGATCTACTGCCGGACGACTCCCTCCGAATGGGCAAAGCACTTGCCTATGGCCGAATTTGTTCATAATTCCCGACGACACTCTGCCAGAAATGCCTCCCCCTTCTACCTCATGATGGGCTATGAACCATGAGGCATTCCCCATCTCTTCCCCAACTCTACCCTACCAACTGCCGAAGACCGAGTCAAATCACTCGCCAAGATCCGTGAAGAAGCCCTTGCATGCCACAGCCTCGCGCAGCAATGCATGGCTGATCGTTCCTATGGCCAGCATTACAAGCCATGGAACATTGGTGATAAGGTATGGCTATCCGCCACGAACCTAATCACCGGATTCCCTTCTAGGAAACTCGCCCCAAAACGATATGGACCCTTCCCAATCCAGAAGGTCCTCTCCCCCATCATGTTTCAGCTAAAGCTGCCTGCCAGCTGGCGTATCCACCCCACATTCCATGCCTCAGAACTTTCCTCCTATCAGGAGACAGACGTGCATGGACCGAATTTCACCGAACCTCTTCCTGATCTTATCGATGGAGAGGAACACTACGAAGTGGAAGCTATCCTCCAACACAAGGGTACCAGATCGCGTCGCTGGTACCTCGTGTCTTGGGTTGGCTATCCTGCCTCTGAACGAACGTGGCTCCCCGAAACAGAATTAAAGTCCGCAGCGGAGCTCCTGAAGGCGTATAAGAAGCGACTCAAGATCGCTTCAATTGCCATCTCATGTTGATCAACAAATGCCACTGCAACTTTGCCTATCGCCCTCACTACACGAGGGCTGACCCCACCGACGAACCCATTCACACCAACACCGAAACCTTCCATCGCCAACAAATCCGCAATCGCCACCGCCCCACGAAACCCAAACCCATCGACAAACAGAGACCCATTACCCAATACCCCACCTACGCCACTACCCAAGGAAAGACACTTCATTATGCCGGCTTCAGCGTCGTCTGTTTCCTCGCACCGATCCGCTACCTCTCATGCATCTGCCTCCGACCACGACCTGACGAGCCAGCCAATGCTTGGCCATGATGGGCCCTCCCCCCCGGGATATACCGTCTTCCGACGACCATCCCTTCACTCAGTTGTCCAAGATAGGCAACGGGCCTACTGGGAAGCAGTCATCTGCGATCCCCAGTATGCACTTCGACTCGACAACTATCTCAACCGCACCAACGACGACATTACCATGAACCTCATCCAGGCCTTCAGGGCCACTAACGCCCTCACCGGCAATATCGCCAGGATTGATCTGGCTAGGGAAACCTCCCTATCCGCCGTCTCAACCAGATATAACCAAGGCAAGATCAAACGAGCCTTACTAAATCTGTTTGAGCTCAGGAACTTCCATGCCGCTGTCATGGCCGTCGAGGAGGAGCAGGCATTTAATCCCCCTCCAGACTCGCTTGCAGTCGTCGAGCATGCTGCCTATGACAGAGCTCCGACTCCCTTCCTTCCCCAACTACCCTGCTCCGAATCACCAGAGCACATCCCCAATGTCACCCAGTTGACCAACCCTGAGATCGACCGTCTCTACGAGGAATACGAACACGAGCACTATGCTCCACGTAACCCCTCCCCTACCCTTGATGTCAACACCATCTCTATCACCATCCCAGAGTTGGATGAGTGCCCTCCCGAACCACCTGTTCTCAACCCCGACGATTGGGTACTCACTGAGGTGGTCCCACACCTCTCTATTGGTTCTCCAGAACCTCTTCCCACTCCGCAACGCCGAAATCACCGTGCTTGTGCACGATCCATCCTGTCCCTAGGACTACCCCTCTCCCATGTGCACCGCCCGCGCACCCAGAACTTCACTAGGCACTATCCTCGCGAGGAAGCCCAGGAAGATGCCATCAACGATGCGTGTCGTGATGCCACCGAGACCACCCAGGTCTACCGCAGCAATGTTGTCTGCCACCAGTGCCGTGTCTTTGGACACAAACAGAAACACTGCGCGCAATACTTCTGCTGCATTTGTGGGCAATTTGCCCCAAAACATCTCACTCCCTTCTGCCCTCGACTCGATGGCAGAAAGATCCTTCGCCATGGAACCTCTTCTGACCGGTTCTACAGGGACATGTGCCAGCTTGAAGCCGCGTATGACCAGGACGCTGCTCGCCTCGAGCAAGAACGCGATGTAGAAACAACAATACAATGAGGAACAAGGATGCTCCTAACTGTATCTATAAAATGTTGTGAGGTCGCGCGTTACCTAGTCTGCTATTCTTGAGGAGACAAGTGCGTTCGACCCTAGGGGAAGCGAGTGCTGTGAAGATCTAGAGGTACGCGCTTCAGCGAAGCGTGAGAAAGCGCAAGTGCGCGCAAGGTACGAAGGCGCGGGAACGCGCGCGCGTATTAGCGCGAAGCGCGGGAAAGCGCGCGCGCGTAAGCGGAAATAAAAGAGACTAAGCTTAAGTGATGATATAAAGCAATATAAGAAAAGATAGATGCAAAGTGTAGACCAATAGACTTCTACTATGTACTGCTAAGTAAATAGTGGGTGATAACTAGTAAGTGAAAAGTAGGAAAAGTAGGTCAAGTGTAGTATGTACTGCTGGCGCTTATATAGCGCGCCTAAGCGCGGTCATGCGGAGCCGAAGCGCTACCGAGTAGGTATGTAAGGATATATATGAGTGAGAACTATGATAAAAATAAAGGTGGAACTATGCTAATAAAGGAAATGGAAATATACGTACTAGGAAGCTTGGTGGACAGTGGATGGATGCATCTGAATGGCTGGCGCTATAGGGCGCGCAAGCGCAGGAACGCGCGCGCGCGTATACATCGCGAAGCGCGGGAATGGTGCGCGCATGGCGCGCGTTGCGTGGGAAAGCTGCGCGTCATATAGAGATAGCTGTGGGTAGCGCACAGAATGACGCTGCGAGTTTGTGCTGTATACTTCCTAGTGAAACCTGCCATATCACACCATGAGACACACGAGTCTCTACAGCGAAGAGAACGCAATCAAAGCCGCCTCCTGGCTCGAAGACCTTGACTTCGACCCCGAGTGGTATAACAACCAGGACGACTATGTTCCCCTGGACGACGATTAAGAGTTCGTGGAACTCTACCTTGAAACAGGGGTAATGTTACAAGTAACATCGGCTACATGGCCCCCCTATCATTTTTCCCCTTCGTCCTCGCCCTCGTATGCCTCCGGCTTGTACTTCTCTACCGACTATCCGTTGACTGGATCCTCGGGACTGTTCCCGTCCCTCATCCCCCTCCTATCGCACCAACGTGCGCACGTGCCTTCGGGCTATGACTCATTCTGACTCGTGCCACCAATGTGGCTTTCCTTATCTTGTCTTATCTTTCCTCTGACTCATGCGTGCTGCACATTGTATCATTTACCGTTGGCTCATTCCAACGTTTCTCGGTCTCATTCCGCATTCGACCTCACATCACTAATCAGGCTCTGCTACCAGCGTACCTATACCCTTTCCATTTCCCCTTTGCCCTTACCTACAGTACGGTAGCCTTGCCCTTAACCCTTTCCACTTAGTATAAGTAGTCGGTCACTCTGTACTAGATTCCCTAACTTGAATCTACTCAATCTTCCCTTGAACACACTTCCCTCTGAAGCCCCCTCAGCTTCAGTCTCTAGTATCTTTTCTTAGGTGCTCATCGCACCTAAGTCTACCTCGATCGACTACTCATCGTTCGGACAAGACTGTCCTTACTTTGAGAATGTCAGTGACTTTGAAGACATCCATCTTAGAAGTCACGTGACACGCGTGTCTCTGATATCTGCCGACTCGTCGTCGCCAGTCTCAGTCGCTACACCGGACCCTTCCGGTTACGTCACGAACGTTAGCGGACGACGCCCCTCTTAGGGCTCCGCACAACAGATCTATTTGAGTGCATAACACTCACGAAGCCGTCGCACGCCACATGAGCCAGCCAAGATCCGGCTGCAGTACCTGGATTGAAGAAGTTATCTGCCTGAAAATGATTATTCAGCCCTCAGAAGATGATCCCATCAATGTCGACCAGGAATCCTTCGTTCATGACGATTACTGCTCGGCTTCTTATGATGACACTAACATTCAGGCCACTGGGGGACTATTTGAAGAAGAACATGTCCCAGCCTCCCGTAATGAATTTCTCGATCTCTTCCCGGGCTCAGCAGAAGTGTATGAAGGAGGATATACATTTCTTGGTCTATTTGATGCGGATGAAAATAGTGCGCATCGTGTGCATAATCCCTACTACCCATTTAGTGGACGGAAAGAGTGGGAGGTTGCATCTTGGCTACTGCATTCAGGCCTGAGCATGGGTAAAATTGATTTGTTTTTATCGCTAGAGATGGTTAGTAGTGCTCTGGCTCATCTCCCTCTGTGATAGTCTGACTTGATATGCTTAGATCAAGGCCCTCTCCTTGTCATTCCACTCTGCTAAGGAGTTACGAGGTCGGGCAGAGCAGCTGCCAAGTGGACCGCGATGGTTGTCTAGGGTGATCAAAACAGCACATCCCACGAAATCTCCTGTGGTTCTGTACTGGCGGGATCCTCTAGAATGCATCGCCAGCATTATGAATGACCCTTCTTTTCACAATCAATTCAATTTCATGCCTCAAAAGGTGTACTCTACCGCAGAGCAAACCTGTTGCATCTACTCAGAATGGATGACAGGTGATGACGCATGGAATATGCAGGTATGTTGAATAATTTGTTTTGACTTCCACTCACTCATCTTATTGCAGTCAGCGCTGCCTGATGGTGCTACTCTCCTCGGAATTATGTTGTCCTCTGATAAGACCACCATTTCAGCTCTGACTGGCGATAGAGTCGCGCACCCTCTCATAATCAGTCTAGCAAACATATTTATGAATACTCACGCCAAAATCTCATCCGACTCCTTCCTCCTTACTGCTCTACTGCCAGTGCCTAAATTCATTCACAAGAAGAAACACATGCGGGGTGTACTGGAGGACCACCTCATACACCAGTGCTTAGACATTGTTCTTGAACTGCTCAAGAGGGCCGCTCGTGTTGGAGTCATGATGTCGGATCCCGTGGGTAATAGCCGGCACTGCTATACAGGACTTGCAAGTTATATTGCTGACACCCCAGAAGCAATGATGTTATGTGCTGTTGGGGGTAAGACATCGCCATTGACCATGGCAATGTTCAAGCAGTTTGGGGACACTTTTTGACATGAACCCTGAACAAAGTCCACTACTCTCGCATAACTCAAAGTTGTCTATACGCGGGCTGACCCCCTTGATCTTGAAGCATTTTTCCGTGAAGCGCAGAAATTTTGGATTGAATGGAGTTGCTGAGCCCTTTTGGCGTGATTGGATTCTGGCCGAATCATCCCATGTCTTCACTCCTGAACTCCTGCACCATGTACACCAGCAGTTTTGGGATCACAATGCAAAATGGCTCATCAATGCTCTTGGGGAATCTGAGATTGATTTTCGCTTTTCCGTCCTACCTTGCATCACTGGGTTACGACATTTCCATGGAGGTATTTCGAAGTTAAAACAAGTCACTGGCTGGTGTCAATGCGACATCCAATGCTATATCATTGCAGTCTGTGCTGATGCTGCACCTCAAGGCGTCCTTACTGCTGTACGTGCTCTCATGGACTTCCGGTATCTTGTGCAAGCTAGCCGAATCGATGATGATGGCCTTGAGTGTATTTCTGCTGCACTAACTGAATTTCATGCCCACAAAGACACCATCATCACTGCTGGTCTTCATCGTGGGGAGGGTAAAAAGGTCATCACCAACTGGCATATCCCCAAACTCAAATTCATGCAGAGCATTGTCCCAAGCATCCGCAATACTGATGTCCCCATGCAATGGACTGCAGACGCAACAGAACACGCTCATATCACTGTCATTAAAGTTCCAGCTTGGTCAAGCAACAATAATAATTATGACCTGCAAATCTGCCATCATCTTGATCGTGAGGAGAAGTGCTGTCGCTTTGACCTTGCCACAAGTCTACTCGATCACGACAAGCTACGATCAACAACTGTGGTTGAAGTTGACGAGGGATATGAGGGTGACAAGGGTGATGCCGATGAAGATATACCAGCAGACCTCTTATCCACTGTTGCTTTCCCTGGTCGCTCACGGCCAATCATGAATTATTTCATGGTTGCAAACAGTTTATGCCACAAGGATGTTGGCACTGTTGTAGAAACAACAATCCAGATGGTGGTATTCTGAACTATGTGTTGGGTCTGCTTGCCTAAGCTGCTATGCTTGTAGTGACAAGTGCGTTCGACCCTAAAGGGGAAGCAAGTGCAGCAGAGATCTAAGGATTGGTGCAAAGGGGTGCCGTTCGTCGGCCGACGTAGAGCGCGGGAAAGCGCCAGAGGCGCGAGCGCGAGAACGAAGCGCTTAGGGTGGCTGATGTGTGGGAAGGTAGCACTTGAGCGGCGCGAAGCACAGGAAAAGCACAAGGTGGGTTTACAAGCAGAGGTTCGTAATAGACATTAAGGATGTTCTTATTGCCAATAGATACTGACTATGGCATGTGACGGATGAGCTTTTATGCTGATAGTGAGGTGCAGGGAGCTTCTATATGATTCAATGATGTAAAATATGAACTACAGGCGCTTATATATGTCTAAAAATGCGCCCCTGAAGCGGAGCCGAAGCGAGTAGGTAAGGTATGTAATAAGGGTCCATGACATGAGAATTGAGCAATCATTAAAATAGAATATGGTCTGATATGGAGAAAATGATATGAACACATACCAGTGAGGTTAGTTTGGACAATGGATGGACGTGCAACGTAGGGCGCTTCGAGCGCGGGAAAGCGCGCCTAATGCGCGCGCGAGAATGCTGCACTTGGGGCGGCCAATGCATGGGAAGGTAGCACTCACTTGGCACTTGGCACGGGAGAGTTTCGCTTCGCATAGGGAATGATTGGAAAGGTATTGGCACAAGTTGTGCATCAGACTGTACTCTGAGACAGGTTGCATATATAGCCTCTGCAAGGCCACAGAGATATCAGTCTCTACACCGTCCCTCGACCATTACGCATGTTCACTGTTGGACGGACAGCATTCCATCTTGCTTACAGTCCATCAATCAGAAGTATCGCTGTTGATGAGGCAGCTGTAAAATTTGGTCTTCTGGACTTACAACCTGCCATCGCTGATTTTCTCTACTGCCATGGTATTCATGGGCAACATTATGTCCATCCAGTAGGTGGGGGGCGAAGGGCTGGACCTGACGTACAACTTCCATTCGACAACTTGCAAGTGTGGTTCAAACTGCACTTGCAAGACACAGACTTTCACGATTCCAGCACTATCCAACCTGCACAAACGCTCAATTGCACACCCCCTTGTGATGCATGGCCTGGGGTTGCTTTGATACTGTTCTCATTAACACCTGTGCTGGTTTCTCGTGGCCTGCCAGTGGGTTTCAAGGTATGCTCACATGTAATCCATGAGTCTTTTTTCCCCTTAGGTTATAGTGTGGTTCAAATCAGGCTCATTATGAGGCTTCTCACAGGGAATGCATTGCAAGACTGCTTCCTCACTTACGTTCATCGCTTTGATTCTGTCACACTGTTGGGATCTGATGGTCGTGACCCGACTACACAGCTACATGTCTTCAAGAGGGCTAAGAGGTCGAACGGAACTTGCCTTTGCAATGTAATCTTACTGTCCCAGGTCAAGTCTCCTATAAACCTTATACCTCGGTTTGGTAGCATTGCAGATAACCGTCTCACTACTTCTAACTGCATGGAACACTGCTTGGAGTTTTGGCTCAACAAATACTGGAACAAACAATCCTTTTTCTCCTTATCTACATAATTATTTATCAAATTGGGACAAGTTTTCATAAAATTAGTCTTTGTTAGTTACGTCCATCATCATGGTCATAGTAGCATGAACTGTCACACCCATGATAAAACTGGGGTCGTTTCCTGTCGCGCCCCATTTGCATAACGTTACAACTATAAATAAGCTCACCAGCAAAGAGCTCGATCATCTGGTCACTCATGAAGATCCAAAAGGAATTGGGCTCGGTCATTATCTGCCACTGATCCTCAAATCATTCGCTCAGCTAGATAATGTTCCCCTCGCAAGTGAGCTGAAGATTAAGTTGGGAAAGCTGCAGTGTAGCAGAGCAGCGAAGGTTCACTTTCAAAACTTCAGAGATGATGACATGGTGCCCTTGTATGATGTCAATTTGAAATGTTGGAATTGGGACTTCCCTTCATCAGGGCTCACTCCAGCAGTACGTGTGCAGATTTTCACAGATAGTAAGATACTGATCAAACCATGTTGGTAGGGAGCCCAGGAGACAAATGAGTTTTCCTTTGGTCTTTATCTCAATGTTGTCTCAGAGGCCTTATCAATCGCAAATCCCAACCTCAAACTTACTCAAGCATCGCACATTTGGTACTCAGAATTTGCAACCCATGCAGTTCCAACTCAAGATATCCAACGGAAGTCTGACCTAGTCCTATCCGACCATGTCGTCCAGCTGGGCTGGAACAATTTCATGGTATGTGCTGAACTCACATTCAGCGCTTACCAGCCTGCTGCATGTGTTGGCAGTTCCATGGACACCAAAGCTTACCTGTTGTTTCGTGGACAGCCATGGCGCTGTTTTGTACTGCTATTGTCCTTTTGCAATCAATACCGTGACCTTTGCGTCCATCTGTACGACCATTCTGGGGGGCTGGTGTCCCCTGTGTTCAACATTGACAAAAATCCAGATATGTGTTTGAAAGTACTCGCTGGGATCGTGTTTGGAGGTCCCCAGTGTCTTGGTTACAATAGTACTGTCGTATTTTATGTTACCCCTTCCAAACCTGCCAGCACTTCCCGTCGCACTGCCGCGCCACGCCAGGCCATCATACATGATGTTTCCAAAGACACCAGCTTGCTTGCACCTGGTATTGCTGAAGAAAGTCACCCATCCAGTAGCTCAAATGATTCTTTCGCTGCCAGTGGAGGCACTGATTCATCCAGAGAAGTGACGCATTATGATTTTCCCACCGCCACGTCACATGAGGGCACTCTGGTGGAATTTTTGAAGATGGCCCATCTCCTCTTTACGCCACGTTTGCCTCTACTACAGAGGTACTTCAGCCAGAAATTGTTCCGGAGCCAAACGAGGACATCCCAACAGCGCTCTTCCCCCCCCCTCTGTTACAAGTAACATCAGCTACATGGCCCCCCTATCATTTTTCCCCTTCGTCCTCGCCCTCGTATGCCTCCGGCTCGCACTTCTCTACCGACTATCCGTTGACCGGATCCTCGGGACCGTTCCCGTCCCTCATCCCCCTCCTATCGCACCAACGTGCGCACGTGCCTTCGGGCTATGACTCGTTCTGACTCGTGCCACCAATGTGGCTTTCCTTATCTTGTCTTATCTTTCCTTTGACTCGTGCATGATGCACATTGTATCATTTACCGTTGGCTCGTTCCAACGTTTCTCGGTCTCATTCCGCATTCGACCTTACATCACTAATCAGGCTCTGCCACCATCGTACCTATACCCTTTCCGTTCCCCTTTGCCCTTACCTACAGTACGGTAGCCTTGCCCTTAACCCTTTCCACTTAGTATAAGTAGTCGGTCACTCTGTACTAGATTCCCTAACTTGAATCTACTCAATCTTCCCTCGAACATACTTCCCTCTGAAGCCCCCTCAGCTTCAGTCTCTAGTATCTTTTCTTAGGTGCTCATCGCGCCTAAGTCTACCTCGATCGACCACCTCATCGTTCGGACAAGACTGTCCTTACTTTGAGAACGTCAGTGACTTTGAAGACATCTGTCTTAGAAGTCACGTGACACGCGCGTCTCTGATATCTGCCGACTCGACGTCGCCAGTCTCAGTCGCTACACCGGACCCTTCCGGTTACGTCACGAACGTTAGCGGACGACGCCCCTCTTAGGGCTCCGCATAACAGAACTATTTGAGTGCGTAACAAAAGATTCAAGTTTCCCCTTTTTGCGCCCTGCCATCCGCACGGCCATTAACCGACAGACACCACGACTACCTGGACCCCGAAGTACCCTTGGGAACGCGATCCCAACACTCCGGACTCCGAAGAAGAAGAATCGGAAGAAGACCATACGTCCTCCGACGAGTTTCCCGACGAACAACCGTACGGTAACCTCAACTCGAACCCTGGAACAAGAATGTCCGGAGGCCCCACCCCACAACCGACAGTGGTCGTATCCAGGCCTGAACTAAAGGCTGGAGTACCACAGAACTATGGAGGAAGCATCGATGATGCCGAGCGCTGGATGTACTCGGTGGAGACATACTTCCTCATCAACCCGACGATCTACAGCTCCGACCAAACCAAGGTCGCTGTTGCACTCCAGTATATGAACGATGGAGACGCCCGCGTCTGGGCTGACACCTTCTACCGAGCAGCCTTCGACAAAACTCCCGTCGACTTCGGTAGCTGGAAGGACTTCAGGAAGGCTTTCACCGAATCCTTCCACCCGGTCGACCGGATGACTGAGGCTCTAACCAAGCTTCATGGTTTGACCCAAACTGGCGACGTGATGCCCTACATCGCGACGTTCAAAACCCTGTCGTCCACTGCTAGTCTCAAGCAGGACGTCGCCCTCATCCACTTCTTCGAACGAGGGTTGAAACCAGGACTTCGAACCGCCATCTACACGAAGGAGGTCGTCCCCAACACCATCGATAAATGGTACACTGCCGCGACACAGTTGGAAGCCAACTACAAGCGATCAAGAGCAGTTGTGTCCAACAACAGATCGGTACGCCCTTCCGGGCACCGGCACGTCCCCAAGCCTCAGGTCCGCCAACGCGATCCTGATGCTATGGACGTTGATCGTTCCCTCACGCCTGAGGAACGACAGAAGTGCTTCGATAAAGGCCTTTGCTTCAAATGCAAGGAGAAGGGCCATCGAGCAAACGACTCCCGGTTCCACCCGAAGGTGCGCCGAGGAGACAAGAACGACGAAGAAGACAAAGGCAAGAAGCCAAGCAAGTCTGGTGTCCGCCAGCTTGACGAGTCTTCTGACGAGGAAGACATGGAAGTCAACCTTGTCAAAAGAAAGGATTTTTAAAGAGAGGGCTTGTCGAACGGTCAATTCCCTCTATCTGCGCATTGTATACTAAAGCTGTTGGTAAATCCAACGAGTTTCGTGTCCCGGTGACACTTTTCTCTTCTTGCAGTGCCAAAACCGTTCAGTCGACCGCCATCATCGACTCAGGGGCAGGTGGGACCTTCATTAGCTATGACTTCGTCAAGCGAAATGGGATCCGGACCCACCTACTCAAGAAACCCTTCCGGATCACCACAGTAGACGGAAGCCCGTCCTCGGCAGGACAGGTAACCCAATACTGCATGCTATTCATTCGTCTCGATCGGAGACTTATGTATGGAAAGTTCAACGTAACGAAACTTTCCAAGCATGATGATCTACTCTTTGGAAAACCTTGGCTTAGTGCCATGATGCCCAATATCGACTGGAAGGCCAACACGATCTCCCTGCCCGCGACCAATAGGTCAAAGGAGGTGGAGAGGGAACTCAACGCCTCCCGGCGAGAAAGCAAGGCCAAGCCATATCTCTTTCGTGGAGAAAAGGCTGTCCTAGAAGAACTCGACGACGAGGACTTTTCGCCCCTCAAGCGACTCCCCAAAGGCACTCAACATTGCCTCGAGGAAATCAAGAAACGCAAGAAGCGTAACAAGAAGAAGACGGCGCCAATCATCGTGCCCTTCGAAAACACCGACTTCAATACCATGGACGATGTCTGGGTCGGACAGGCCCATCTCGCGGATAAAGTTGAGGAGATCTCCACTTATCCCCTCACTGACGATGAAGTTCTAGTGGAATATGCTTCGGACGGAACATCCGTCCGGATCATCGAGAACATCTCTTTCGACACTCCGCTCACCAAGGACGGGACCTCGAAGAAAGAAATCCGGAAGGCTCTCCATCGACGAGCAAAACCTCTCCGGAACCTCTGGATCCTCGCTTCTCAGCAGGACTACACTGAAGACCTCCAACAAAGCTCAAGAATTTGCTATGGAGGATGCGCAGGAGAAGAAGAAGAAATCATTTGAAGAACTGGTACCTTCCTATCTTCATGATTTTGCTGACATCTTTGCAAAGGACGGTCTGAACAAACTTCCCCCCTCACGGCCGGGAGTAGACCACAAAATCGAAACGAAGGAAGGCTTCATTCCGAAGTCTTCTCGAGCCTACCCGCTCTCACCGAAGGAAACCGATGCTGTCAAAGCATTTTTGGACGAACACATCGCCAAAGATTTCATCCAACCCTCGAAGTCTCCTCAAGCTGCTGGATTCTTCTTTGTCGGCAAGAAGGACGGATCTCTCCGCCCCTGCCAGGACTACCGATACATCAACGAATGGACGATCAAGAACGCGTACCCACTCCCTTTGATACCACCCTTGCTTGCGAAACTCAACAAGGCGCAATGGTTCACAAAGGTCGACGTACGATCAGGATATAACAATATCCTCATTCATCCCGACGACAGGTGGAAAGCCGCGTTCTCCACCTCATACGGGCTCTTCGAGCCCAAGGTAATGTTTTTTGGATTGTGCAATTCACCCGCCACCTTCCAAGCTTACATGAACCAGACATTTTTAGAAGAACTGAACGAAGGATGGTTAATCGTCTATATGGACGACATCCTGATCTTTTCAGATAACCTGGACGAACACCGGCAGAGGACCCGCCGAGTGTTGGAGAAACTCCGCAAAGAGTCTCTCTTCCTCAAACCCGAGAAATGTACTTTCGACTCTCAAGAAGTCGAGTACCTCGGTATGATCATTCGACCCGGACAGGTCGCTATGGACACTGCCAAGCTGAAAGGCATCAGCGAATGGCAACAACCCTCTTCAGTCAAGGACGTGCGGTCCTTCCTCGGATTCTGCAACTTCTACCGTCATTTCATTCCCCACTACTCCGACATCGCACGCCCTCTCCTAGACCTAACCAAGAAGGAGATCCCCTTCTCTTGGTCCGACTCCACCGAAGCTTCATTCCAGCATCTGAAGAAGCTTTTCACCACCGAACCGGTTCTGCGGAACCCCGACTCCTCGCGACAGTTTGCACTTGCAACTGACGCCTCGCTCTTCGCGACCGGAGCAGTCTTGCTCCAAACGGATAGCAATGGGGATTACCACCCCTGCGGCTATCTCTCCCAGTCCCTCAACGCGGCCGAACGGAACTACGAGATCTACGACCGAGAACTCCTTGCCATCATCCGAGCCCTCCAGGCTTGGAGGCACTTCCTCGAAGGAAACCCTCACCCGGTCATTGTCTTCACGGATCACAAGAACCTGATCTATTTCCGCTCCGCGCAACGACTCACCCGACGACAGGCCCGGTGGCACCTCACGCTCACCAACTTTGATCTGGAACTTCACCATGTTCCTGGAACAAAGCTCGCTGCACCGGATGCCTTATCCCGCCGTCCGGACCATGCTATAGCTGGTCAGGATAACGAGGATCGTATCCTCCTCCCCGACACCCTGTTCACTCGTCTAATCGACGCTGAACTCGCAGACGAGTTTCAACGACTCTCCGACGACCCCTCCGACCAGACTGTGAAAACAGCCTTGGACGCCCTCTCCGGGGTGTGCGCACCCCCCATGAAGTCTGCACTTTCCGATTGGAGGTTCACCGATGGTGTTCTCTTCTATAAAGATCGTGCTTACGTTCCCCCCGACCTCCGGCATCGCGTGTTGTCTCTACATCACGATCACCCAACCGCCGGGCACCCCGGACGTTCTGGTACCGAATGGAACGTCAAGAAATCCTACTGGTGGCCCGGAATGGGCTCCTTCATTAGGAAATACGTCGATGGCTGCGCCATGTGCCAGCAAATGAAGGTTAACACCCACCCCACGACACCTCCCCTCACCCCGATACCCTCCTCGGCCCTTCGCTCAGGTTTCGGTTGATTTAATCACCGACCTCCCCGAGAGCGCCGGCTATGATTCTGTCATGGTCGTGGTAGACCATGGGCTTATGAAGGGGGTAATTCTCTGCCCTTGCAGAAAAACCATCACAGCGGAAGGAGTAGCTGAACTTTTCTTCAAGAAAGTGTTCATGCGCTTCAGACTCTATGACAAGATCATCTCGGACCGAGGCCCCCAATTCGCCTCGAAGCTAGCAAAGGAGCTAGGACGACTTCTCGACTACCAAGTTGCACTTTCCACTGCCTACCACCCTCAGACAGATGGCCAGACCGAACGGCTCAACCAAGAGCTCGAAACCTACCTCCGGATCTACTGCCGGACGACCCCCTCCGAATGGGCAAAGCACTTGCCTATGGCCGAATTCGTTCACAACTCCCGACGACACTCTGCCAGAAATGCCTCTCCCTTCTATCTCATGATGGGCTACGAACCACGAGGCATCCCCCATCTCTTCCCCGACTCTACCCTACCGACCGCCGAAGACCGAGTCAAATCACTCGCCAAGATCCGCGAAGAAGCCCTTGCATGCCACAGCCTCGCGCAGCAACGCATGGCTGATCGTTCCTATGGCCAGCGTTACAAGCCATGGAACGTTGGTGATAAGGTATGGCTATCCGCCACGAACCTGATCACCGGATTCCCTTCTAGGAAACTCGCCCCAAAACGATATGGACCCTTCCCAATCCAGAAGGTCCTCTCCCCCATCACGTTCCAGCTCAAGCTGCCTGCCAGCTGGCGTATCCACCCCACATTCCATGCCTCAGAACTTTCCTCCTATCAGGAGACAGACGTGCATGGACCGAATTTCACTGAACCTCCTCCTGATCTTATCGATGGAGAGGAACACTACGAAGTGGAAGCTATCCTCCAACACAAGGGTACCGGATCGCGTCGCCGGTACCTCGTGTCTTGGGTTGGCTATCCTGCCTCCGAACGAACGTGGCTCCCCGAAACAGAATTGAAGTCCGCAGCGGAGCTCCTGAAGGCGTATAAGAAGCGACTCAAGATCGCTTCAATCGCCATCTCATGTTGATCAACAACCGCCACCGCAACTTTTCCTACCGCCCTCACTACACTAGGGCTGACCCCACCAGCGAACCCATCCACACCGATACCAAAGCCTTCCATCGCCAACGAATCCGCAATCGCCACCGCCCCAAGAAATCCACACCCGTCGACAAACAGAGACCCACTACCCAATACCCCACCTACGCCACTACCCAAGGAAAGACGCTCCACTATGTCGGCCTCAGCGTCGTCTGTTTCCTCGCACCGATCCGCTATCTCTCATGCGTCTGCCTCCGACCCCGACCTGACGAACCAGCCAACGCATGGCCATGATAGGCCTTCCTACACCGTCTTCCGACGACCATCCCTTCGCTCAGTTGTCCAAGACAGGCAACGGGCCTACTGGGAAGCAGTCATCTGCGATCCCCAGTATGCAATCCGACTCGACAACTATCTCAACCGCACCAACGACGATATAACCATGAACCTCGTCCAGGCCTTCAGGGCCACCGATGCCCTCACCGGCAATATCGCCAGGATCGACCTGGCTAGGGAAACTTCCCTATCCACCGTCTCGACCAGATATAACCAAGGCAAGATCAAACGAGCCTTGCTAAATCTGTTTGAACTTAGAAACTTCCATGCCGCCGTCATGGCCGTCGAGGAGGAGCGGGCATTTAATCCCCCTCCCGACCCGCTTGCAGTCGTTGAGCGTGCTGTCTATGACAGAGCTCCGACCCCCTTCCTTCCCCAACTACCCCGCTCTGAATCACCAGAGCAGATCCCCAACATCACCCAGTTGACCAACCCCGAGATCGACCGTCTCTATAACGAATACGAACGCGAGCTCTACGCTCCACGTAACCCCTCCCCCATCCTCGATGCCGACACCATCTCTATCATCATCCCAGAGCTGGATGAATGCCCTCCCGCATCACCCGTTCTCAACCCCGACGATTGGGTACCCACCGAGACGGTCCCACACCTCTCTATTGGTTCTCCGGAACCCCTTCCCACTCCGCAACGCCGAAACCACCGTGCTCGTGCACGATCCATACTGTCCCTAGGACTACCCCTCTCCCATGCGCATCGACCGCGCACCCAGAACTTCACTAGGCACTATCCTCGCGAGGAAGCCCAGGAGGACGCCATCAACGACGCGCGTCGTGATGCCACCGAGACCACCCAGGTCTACCGCAGCAACGTTGTCTGCCGCCAGTGCCGTGTCTACGGACACAAACAGAAACACTGCGCACAATACTTCTGCCGCATTTGTGGGCAATTTGCCCCAAAACATCTCACTCCTTTCTGCCCTCGACTTGACAGCAGGAAGATCCTTCGTCGTGGAACCTCTTCCGACCGGTTCTACAGGGACATGCAGCAGCTTGAAGCTGCGTATGACCAGGACGCTGCTCGCCTTGAGCAAGAACGCGAAGAGAATGCAATCGAAGCCGCCTCCTGGCTCGAAGACCTCGACTTCGACCCCGCATGGTATAACAACCAGGACGACTACGTTCCTCTGGACGACGATTAAAGAGTTCGTGGAACTCTACCTTGAAACGGGGGTAATGTTACAAGTAACATCAGCTACATGGCCCCCCTATCATTTTTCCCCTTCGTCCTCGCCCTCGTATGCCTCCGGCTCGCACTTCTCTACCGACTATCCGTTGACCGGATCCTCGGGACCGTTCCCGTCCCTCATCCCCCTCCTATCGCACCAACGTGCGCACGTGCCTTCGGGCTATGACTCGTTCTGACTCGTGCCACCAATGTGGCTTTCCTTATCTTGTCTTATCTTTCCTTTGACTCGTGCATGATGCACATTGTATCATTTACCGTTGGCTCGTTCCAACGTTTCTCGGTCTCATTCCGCATTCGACCTTACATCACTAATCAGGCTCTGCCACCATCGTACCTATACCCTTTCCGTTTCCCCTTTGCCCTTACCTACAGTACGGTAGCCTTGCCCTTAACCCTTTCCACTTAGTATAAGTAGTCGGTCACTCTGTACTAGATTCCCTAACTTGAATCTACTCAATCTTCCCTCGAACATACTTCCCTCTGAAGCCCCCTCAGCTTCAGTCTCTAGTATCTTTTCTTAGGTGCTCATCGCGCCTAAGTCTACCTCGATCGACCACCTCATCGTTCGGACAAGACTGTCCTTACTTTGAGAACGTCAGTGACTTTGAAGACATCTGTCTTAGAAGTCACGTGACACGCGCGTCTCTGATATCTGCCGACTCGACGTCGCCAGTCTCAGTCGCTACACCGGACCCTTCCGGTTACGTCACGAACGTTAGCGGACGACGCCCCTCTTAGGGCTCCGCATAACAGAACTATTTGAGTGCGTAACACCCTCCCCCCTCCAACAAGGACCCCATCGGTAAAATTCACGTCAAGGAGAAGTTCTACAATATACTCCGCATCTTGTTCTACAGTCGAGGTCTTAAGGGCAGGGGAACTGTCTGTTATTTGGTCGAGTTGGGGGGTGAGGAATTTATTATCAAAGATCATTGGGTGCAAGGACAGGATGACACGGACATCCTGAATGAGGTGGAAATGCTGAAGTGGATGCAAGGTGTCTCTGGCATCCCTCACCTTGAAGACTATTGGATTGTTGAGAGGGAGAAGGGAGTTCCAGATTCAACAGGTGACTTTCGCTTCAAGCATATCCAGAGCACATCCCACGCATTTTGCGCCCATGTTCGCCTTGTTCTCAAACCATGTGCCTGTCCATTACATCAGTTCTGAACTAAGAAAGAGCTGCTGACAGCCTTACGCGATATCATTTGCAGTAAGTATTCCTTGAATGCTCGAGCCAATCCCTTACTGATTGTTTCCCCCCTCCAACACAGTCATACATGCAGCATCTGATCATGGTGTTGTGCATCGTGATTGCAGCCTTTACAACGCAATGATCAAAGATGTCCCTGGAGGCATACAGGGTTGTTTGATCGATTTGGAGTTCGCAATCAATGTCTCTGATACTGAATGCAACAATAATACCCATAGCATCCTTACCAGGGGCGGTATGGGCACAGTTCCATTCATGTCTCGCAAACTCCTTAGTCAATTGGTCCAAGCTGATCTCGCCCATTTGACTCAGCCCATCGTCAGTCCAACCTTCTCCAATCCGCCACAGTCTCGTAAGACATCATCTATCGGTGCTCCTCCCCAACCGCTTGCAACAATAGTGCAAAACCACTCCGATGATCTTGAATCCATTCTATGGGTATTCCTCTGGGTTCTCCTCAATTATTCGGGCCCTCTCGGGATGGAGCGAAATCAAGCTGGGTTGATGACGGAAGGCTGGAATGACCCAAACACCATGCTGTGTGTCAGGTCCAAGTATGTCCTTTACCACTCAGGGAAGGCAGCATTCCTTTGTCAAATTGACCCCTACTTCGCGGACCTTACCCAGCTCGCAGATGATTGGTTGGAACTGATGAGGCACAATGATGAGCATCCGGTAGCCTTCGATGCAGTGCTAGAGCTCCTGGACTCTTTTCTGTCCAATTACAAGACAGAGGAGTTCTCTCCAGAGTGGTATTTCATGTCACAAGAGTTGAAGATTCCTCTGGGGGGAAATACTGACACCATGAGGCGCAAGAGAGTTATCTCAGAGTCCGAGGGGACTTATTTTACACAGAAGCGGGCGAAGGCTGTTGTTTAATACAATTCCCTCAAACTACTATCGCGATTCTAATCTCACATTACTCTAGCATGTATTTCTTGGAATGTAGAACAGAGTACTAGTAAATGTACTTCTACCACGAACTTTTCTATGACTCATTTTTGCATCTTCAAGTTGTGCCAATGCGTTCACTGAGTTCAACTCTTTTTTTCTTCTATCACGTGACATGAGCAGTATACTCGCGGATTCTCACATTCAACTGACATTCATGATTGCGTGCTACTACTAGTATGCATCAGGTTTGCTCTGTTCTTTGGTGAAGGATGGATCTACGGTGAAGGAGATGTCGGATGAGATCAGATGGCACAACTGCTATTACATGTGCACCTGGAGGTGTGTTACTCAATTTGTCTACCTTGCACTGATTTGTTACTTTTATATTGACTCGGCAGGGCAACCGTACAGTATCAGATGGCAGCACCTGCTGCAATATTACATTGGATACTTCAATGTCCGCCATAGAATCTGGACATGAAGACTTAAATATGAGTAAGTTCGGATGGTAAATTCACGTGTTCTAGCTTTTGTCTTATTCCCTGCAATGATGCCCAGCCCTAGGAAGTCCAAGACTAGTGTTGCCGCCGGTGTGAGTTGGAATCGAGTTAACATCGACTCGACTCGGAAATTTATGCAACTCATGGCAACTGCCCCATGCGGTGTAAACATCGAGTTGCACTGCGAGTTGGTGATTGACATATCGAGAAGACTTTCCCATAAGCTTCCCTGGTATCTTATCAATGTTACTGTAAGTCTCTATAATCTTGCCGACTGTAGCTCGAGTATTTCATGCAATCTTGAGCACTTCTCCAGTGCTTTATACCTTGTCAATATGTCTGCCCTACTTACTTCGTCGGTCCATAAAAAATCAAAAAATTTCTACTTTTTTACACATGAGTTTTGTACTACCATGTACATGCCCATAAGTCTCGCACTCATTGTTTTCACACATGGTGCTAATCATGATTAGGATGCGGAACGAGTATATCCACTCTCATACAAAGTCGCCCTCAACATCTTACCCATACAGGCTTCCTCTGTGCCGTGCGAGCGAGCCTTCTCATCAAGTGTTCACGATATTGTAGCCATGATGAGTCATGACTGTAGAAATATATAATTCTGTTTCTGCCAAATATAACTATTTATGCGCCAATAAATTTGACTTGCTAGACCAGAAAGAGATAGATCTGAGCCCGTTGATTGGTGGACTTAATTCCCGAACAACATCCAAACTCGCTAGTTGCACTGGTGTGTAACTCAATACAACTCGAATCGTTTACTTGTTTGAGTTCGCTAGCACCGCATCACACCGCGTCGACTTGCGGCAACACTATCCAAGACTAGTAAGAGAAAGGCTCAAGATCCTGACACTGGCCTTCCAACTGGACAATCCAAGAAAACTCCACGGGGTGCTTTGGATGAACTTGGTGGCCCTCAACATTCTGAATGTTCGAACGCAGGGACGGGCGGACGAAACTCACAGCTAGAAAAACTTGACGCAGTCCTTGAACGACCATCGCGTAAACGGCCCTCAAAAGGCTCAACGACCTTTGGTGCTGATGTTTCAAAGAACCCACAAGCTCCTGATTCTCGCAAAGGTAAAGGCTGCAAGTCTAGAAAGGTAAGTCGTCACAATCAGACACTAATTGATGCTTAATTCCATTTCTTAGGTCGCTGCTCCCCCACCATATGCTCCGGCAGATCTGAATCTTGTTGATGCATCTCAAGTAAGTTGTGTCCACCTTTATATTCATTTATTTTATCTACTAAGGCATCCAACACGCAACAGGATGTGCCCCAAACGACAATTGTACCACCGGGTACCGAGCCTAACTTGCAGGCCCTGAATAACCCCTACATGGCTGCCATGATTGGTACTGCAGCTGCACGCCCCCCCACTAACAGCTCAGTGCCATCGCTTATCCCACACGCACCCTTAGAGCTGAACTCGCAGGTCCTGCATAACCCCTACATGGCTGCCATGAATGGTACTGCAGCTGCACGCCCCCCTACTAACAGCTCAGTGCCATCACTTATCCTGAGTGCACCCTTAGAGCCAAGGTTTTCAAATGCCATCAAGTATTATCAGCCTGCCACTTCCCCCCAAATGCCAGAGCATGTTATAGACCCGGCACTGCGGATTCAACCATCATCACTTGGTGTAGGTGGGCACTTTCAGCCAAGTGTTCTGAATGTCACCCAGTACAATATTCAGCCTATGTTTCAAGGCACTGCGCTCCTGAGGCTCCCAGAGGGTCCTACAGGCCCAGCACTACAGCCTCAGAACCAACCCCCTCCAATAAGCGATGAATCAGATCTTGATGAAAGTGATGAGAATGATGAGAGTTCAACGGATGAAGATACTGAAGAAGGGGTCAAAGATGCTGGTGAAGATGATATTGTTGGATGGGGAGCAGTTCGTGGACGCCACACAACTTATCCAGGTTGCGCCCTTCACATTTTATGTATGTCACTGATTCTTATTATATGTACAGGATTTTTGCAGGAACAACCACCTCAGCCACTTTCACATCCACGTCCTTTGACACCCGACTTTGACTTTCAGTACTCATGTGATGAAGATGAAGATGGTGCAGTGGCTAGTCTCGCCTCAGTGCAGTTGCAGCCACATGTTCAGAACTTATGTCAAGACAATGCAGCTGCTAATCTCATGCTAACACAACCGAAGGTAGATGATGTACTCAAGAAACACCAGAAAAAGAATGGACGGCGTCGTCTCCCTGACCCTGAGGCTCTTGAAATACTATGCCGGAAAACTGAAACTGATGTTCAACAAGAAGCTCCGACATCGCGATCCATAGCAAAGCCCACTCAACTCGGGTGGTACGGAACTGGCTGGAAAGGCTTCCTGGAGGACGCGAAGGCAGAATGTCGCGCAGTCCATGCATTGGAAAACCCATTTCCATCTCTGACCCATGACTTAACATGTTCGATAACGGAAGTCCTCTTATTGGTCAAGCTTGCATGGGAGCAAGCTGAGAAGCAGGTAGAAACTGGTAAGTCTTCACATGTTCCTGAGTTCTGTGGTCTCAATCAGCGTAGGTGTGTGGCCTGCACAGAAATCCAACATGGCAAGGCTGGTAAGTATTTCTCCGTCATTACAAGCATGCTCACACCATATAATCACAGCTCTATGACGATCTCGCAACTTGGCGGTCCGAATTGAAGAAGGTTGTGATTTCCCTTGCCCCGAGCATATTGGATCTTGTTTCCCCTGCTGAGGTACCTGCCCTGGAATGGCCAGCATGAATCTCACATGAAGCATCAAGGCAGCACAAAGATTCTCTGTTCCTACGAGGTGGATTCGATGCCAATGTTTTTATTTTTATTTCCCTGTTTCACCCCTCACTGTGCTGATGTACAATTTGAACAGGGAAAGACTAACAACTTCGCAAGTCCTGCGCTTCGAGAAGCTGTTGTGTTATTTTATTATACCGGACCTTACAGAATTGCTCAGCGAAGGCCAGAAATATTTCGCACACAGCTGCCTTTGTCGTGCTTGGCTCTCGTCGCCACTGCGGTATTATTTACTCAAGTTAAATATCAAGGTTACTGACTCAATATTTGCAGTATGACTGTGGTCTCCTTGGCTTCAAAAAGAACGGTACCGGCAAGGTCTTTCCAAAATTCACCACAAAGGAGTACAAAACCGAATACAAGGAGATGCTGGAGATGATGGGCGTCGTTTTGGAGGATGCGTATCATGGCCCGAAACTGGTAAAGCAGCTCCAGGAGTGGGCGGCATACGGCTGGTGAGTATTTTTATATCCATTTTCTATGACACTGATCGTATTTATCCAACGGCAGGTTGGAAAGCCTCAAGGTTGACTCTCGTGGCGGCTTGGAGATGAAGCGCACTCACTTGAAGGTGGTACTTGATTAGTTTTGTCGTGTTTTTCTCGTTGTCGCTCGGATACTATTACTACTGCATGTTGGCCAGCTGGGCCGTGTTCGTTTACAGTATCATTTCTGTCAGCACAATATGATCAGATTTATTTGGAACTCCTTGTAACGGTGTGAGTGTGTACTACTGCTACTCTATGGGACTGGGAAGCACTGGGGGAAGGTAATTTACAAACATTCAGCAACTGCCAGTGTCCGAGTTGTGGAAGGCCATATAGCTAGAATGATACATCCAAACTGGACTATAGCTCTAAAACTGTGATACATCATTCAGTCTAATTATCCATGATCCAAATAGATGTATCCCTTGGTGGATCCCAAATGCTAGCATACACAGCCGCATTTTTCGCACTTTTGAAACTCAGCTCCAGGATATATTCCATGTGTGGTAATTCATAAAACATACCCATTTTGGTGGCCTGCAGCCTCCTACATTATTCCCACACTCCGCATTTTTTGTATTTTTAGCTATACTGTGCCTACATCAGTTAAAAATAGATTGCTTCTCATATTAGGGCCTCCCCACATTATCCCCACACCGCATTTTTAGCCACCTACTGTGGGAATTTCCCCACTACTCCAAAAACATCACTCATTTTGGGAATCTCCACAATATCAATTATTCCCACACCCTCCCCACCTCACTGCAGCTTCACCACCACACCACAATAGGTCCCTGTGCATATATAAGTAGTAGTTTAGTATATATATGTATAATATAATATAATATAATAGACTGCTTTTTTGTTTGTTTATGTGACTGCTCCTCCTCTAGAGGCAATTCAACATAGGGTAGGGTATAGAATACTTTCGCATTTTTGCCCCTTTGGTGGGGAAGTGTTCTATGACATTCAGAACATGTTTATGAGCATATATGAGTAGATTCCCATCTTTATTTCACCCCCTGAAGTGTCCTACATCAATAGATATAGCACATATGCAAGAAAACACAGAATATGTTCCCATTCAATTATTTCTAGGTGAACAGACTTGTAAAAATAATTCCCAGCATCTTTTCAACAATAGGAACAATGTATCAGGAGCACAGGACCATAGGACAATATCCTGCTGCATGGTGTAGCCTCTCTCTCCTGGTGGTTTACCCCCTGTGAAAAATTTTCCTGTAGGACCGGACCTCAATTGAGGTAGGGGGTCTATTCCTATGTATATTTGGAGTAGATTTATCATATAGCTGGCCCAGGACACACATAGGATCTTGCTATAGAAACAAAAACATGAAAAATCACACTTTTGACATTTTTGACATTTTTCAGTATCTTACTCTTGCATAGATGATCTAGCCTGTTCATGTATCATTAGAATAGCATATATACTTGCTTTTTATGACAAGGATCAGCCCTACATAGGGCGCAAATTTGAGATCTAATGTAAAGAGGGTATTTCTACTGATAAGGAGCCCATATTGTCAAAACATCGAAATTTAATAATCAGATACCTGGAGTAGATTCAGAATACATTCACTATCATATACCTAAATTTACAAAACAATCCAACGATAATGGAGTGTTGAGGAAGTGAAATAGATAAGAAATTGAGTGTGGGAAAGTTCAAAGACCCAAAACATCGAAAATGGTCAGTTGGGCAGTGGTAGGACTTTAATGCTGGGTCAACTCAGATATACACCACATCCCTTCCACCACCCTCCAACCCCAGGGCAGTATGTAGTATAGGTTCCTTTATTAGTCTACCATGTATTCCCAAATTTGCGCCCTATGTAGGGCTGATCCTTGTCATAAAAAGCAAGTATATATGCTATTCTAATGATACATGAACAGGCTAGATCATCTATGCAAGAGTAAGATACTGAAAAATGTCAAAAATGTCAAAAGTGTGATTTTTCATGTTTTTGTTTCTATAGCAAGATCCTATGTGTGTCCTGGGCCAGCTATATGATAAATCTACTCCAAATATACATAGGAATAGACCCCCTACCTCAATTGAGGTCCGGTCCTACAGGAAAATTTTTCACAGGGGGTAAACCACCAGGAGAGAGAGGCTACACCATGCAGCAGGATATTGTCCTATGGTCCTGTGCTCCTGATACATTGTTCCTATTGTTGAAAAGATGCTGGGAATTATTTTTACAAGTCTGTTCACCTAGAAATAATTGAATGGGAACATATTCTGTGTTTTCTTGCATATGTGCTATATCTATTGATGTAGGACACTTCAGGGGGTGAAATAAAGATGGGAATCTACTCATATATGCTCATAAACATGTTCTGAATGTCATAGAACACTTCCCCACCAAAGGGGCAAAAATGCGAAAGTATTCTATACCCTACCCTATGTTGAATTGCCTCTAGAGGAGGAGCAGTCACATAAACAAACAAAAAAGCAGTCTATTATATTATATTATATTATACATATATATACTAAACTACTACTTATATATGCACAGGGACCTATTGTGGTGTGGTGGTGAAGCTGCAGTGAGGTGGGGAGGGTGTGGGAATAATTGATATTGTGGAGATTCCCAAAATGAGTGATGTTTTTGGAGTAGTGGGGAAATTCCCACAGTAGGTGGCTAAAAATGCGGTGTGGGGATAATGTGGGGAGGCCCTAATATGAGAAGCAATCTATTTTTAACTGATGTAGGCACAGTATAGCTAAAAATACAAAAAATGTGGAGTGTGGGAATAATGTATGGTGCGCGTCACTTAGCCACCACTACTTTTGAACAACGTTCTCACCCCCTCGAAAAAAAATCAGATTTTTATTTCCTCTTGTAAAAATGATCCTTTCGATGAGTAGAGTAAAGCTACAAGAGGAATTATTGATTGAATCAAATCTGAGCGAGTTTTTTTTTAAAAAAAGGGATGATTTGGCCACCTAAAGTACTATGACTCCCCATCAATCAAAAATGCGAGCCAATGTCTCCGGAATACGTCTGTGAGACTTGTACTTTGTAGAGCTGAATTGCTTAACCTGAAACTGGGCATCCTTTGTGCTCAGACCCGTCCGATATGCCTCCATCCAGCGGTGCATGCGATGTTCCCACAGTCGAATGGTACTGAGCTGCACAGACTGCATTGCTAAGGGCATGTTCTTCTTCAGGGTCTCGAAAGTGCCGTCGCAGTTGTCTCGGAGATATTTTTTGACCTTCCCCCAGAAATATTCGATGAAATTGAGTTCGCAGTGGAACTTTGGGAGGAAGCTGTAGCGCTACATGTTTCAAACTAATATCGAAGCATCCGTTGGAGTTGCACGCGTAGGGTTAGGGTTGAAATTTTTCCTCAGACCGATTTGGCCACTGTTCAAAGGTAGTGGTGGCTAAGTGACGCGCACCATAGGAGGCTGCAGGCCACCAAAATGGGTATGTTTTATGAATTACCACACATGGAATATATCCTGGAGCTGAGTTTCAAAAGTGCGACAAATGCGGCTGTGTATGCTAGCATTTGGGATCCACCAAGGGATACATCTATTTGGATCATGGATAATTCAGCTAATGGATGTATACTAGTTTTAGGGCTATAGCCCAAAGTGATATATCCATCCACCAAGATGAGGTGGTTGTGGACATGCAGGACATTCTGTGATGTCTGTGAGCAATTGTACAGTACTGTCTAAATCACTTTTGGAAATCTGCTGTCTGTCACAAGGGGACCAGGCTGTAGGCCTGGCACGCTGTGTGGGCTTGTACAGCTCTGTACAGAGCGTGTGAGTTTACTGATGAGGGCAGAATTGAGCTGTTGCAAAGTGGCTCAAAAGCCAGTAATGTCATGGCATTGTCACAACCCAATAACAAATTAACGCTGGGCAGAGACTAGGACTCAAACAACAGAATAATCACAAAGAGAAGATAGGCAGCAGGTACGTCTTGGTATTGCTCACTTGGAGATACAAGAGGTTTGAACTAAAGAACTACTGACTACGATGAGCTACCTATATACACATATTGAAACTGAGATCAAAACTGAGTATGAACTAACTAACCAATCAGAATAATTAAAGGTATCGTATGATTCTATATATAACTATGATGTCATAACATGTGCTGCAGCCGCAGTAAGACTCTGGAACATTCCAAGAGTGTCGCGAGGCATGACGTCAACATCTTCGGCATTGTCCGATAGATGATGTGACTCTGGTAATTCTACAATAGACGCAATAATAGGAACTTCTTCAACAGTAAACACATTCTTAGAAACAGGCGCTGTGACTGGGCGCTTAAAGGACTTAGAATTTAGGAACTGAATAATGGTTTGTATTTGGAACTCGTGACATTACCCCCTCTCTAGGATGAGCATCATCGCGAATGAAACTAGGATGAATAAACTTCTTGCGCCATTCCAAAAACTCTTGGGTTTTGAACACTGATTTGTTAATTTTGCGGGGATTCAATGCCTTCAGATTTTGCCGGTGAAATTCTTGAACTTTCAACCAGTGCATTCTCAAGGTTTTCCCCAGGTTCCCATGTCGCTTCTTCTATCGGATATCCTTCCCACTCTACTAGGTATTGGAGTTTTGATCTGTGCAGTCTCGAGTCTAGGACTTTTCGTACTATCCATTCGGAATCACCTTCTGATAAGATCTCTGGCGGCGGACGATGATGTGGAAGTCTTTGGACTAAGGTCGAGGGGGAATGTGGAGTGAGTAATTCTACGTGGAATACCGGATGAATCTAATATTTTGCTGGAAGGTTCAGGCGGTAATTTATATCACCCGTCTTCTCTAGCACTTCAAACGGACCAAGTCGTCGATCGGAGAGTTTCTTATTTGGTCTTTTCTGATGGATATTTTTGGCATTGAGCCAGACCAGATCTCCTTTCTTGAATTGTGGTGCGTCTTTTACTCCTCTATCGTAGAATCTCTTCATCCGCTCATTCGCCATTCGCAGCATACTTTCTGCGTCTTCCTTTGCCTCTTTCATTACATCCACTCGTTCATCAGCTGCAGGTACTTTAGAATTGGAAATTGGTGAAAAAGTAAACTCTGGATCGTATCCGTAGAGTA